CCTTACCCGAGACAGATGATAGAAGAACATGAATTCATTCTTCGAGATAGAGGAGGTAATTATATCAAAGATTGTAATTGTTAAATGGAGTTGAAGAATTTTTATTTGTTCTGAAATGCGTCCCATAAATTTTGGAGGACAATAGCTGATTCGAAATATTTTAGAGTCTAAATGCATAATTAAAGTCGTTGTTTTTATCATTTGTTTTTATTTTTGATTCGTTTTGGATATTTGTCAAAAGTTAAAACGCTTTTGAGCATAGGTTCTAAAAGAGCAAACATTTTTACAGAATTATGATGCATTTTCAGAATTTTAAACCACGTTTTAATTGTGATTTGGTATGCACCGGTGTCGGTATCCATTCCGAATATCGAAAATATCGACTTTTTTCGATCTGGACGTTTTTGGGTGACGGACGTGACAGCCAGAACACGAAAAACACTCAGTTGTGTATTCTAAGCATGTGCAGATGAAAAATTTGGCTTTAGAGAGAAATCAAAGCTCCTGTTCTTCGTTTCTGATTCTTTCTGGGCGTTCAGGACGCTAAACTATCTCATTTCAAATGAAAAAATCCAAAAAGTCTGGAAAAAAAGTGGACTGAAGACCGCCTGGAGCTAGGTGGTGTCATCTTGCAGTAAAAATTGGCTTTCTCTTAGAACACGTCATTTTCTCCTATTTCAAAAGTCATATTCATGATCAGCGTTAGAAACTACAGCTAATCCATGGTTCAAAGTCAGTGAAAGCCTCTTTTCTAGAAATCATGAGGGAATCTCACACGTCGAAAAGCCGACATCGAGATTTAAGAACACTAAGTAGTGGAATATATCACATTTTGACACGTTTTGCATCTAAAAAAGTGGAGTTCTTTGGGGGACAGAAGCCTTGCTTAAACGCCTACATCCTTTATGAAACTAAAAAATTGAGGTTTCAAACTTAAAAATTTCACAACTTTTTCAAGGACGATCGTAGAATGCTGGCAGTCGCCCAATTTTGTTTTTCTATCCTGTCCTATCGGTTTCATCTCATAGAACCTTATCTAGCCTCAATCTCAGTGATGCGGACAACGATGACATTTTTTTCCGCAAGTCATGAACGGAATATAGATTTTTGCTGTTGTGATCGCGGCTTTCTCGAAGCCCTGATTAATCGAAATCCAAGAAAACATCCAGTGTAATGCGATCGTAAAAAGAGAGGCGCTTTAGTCTATTCAAAACCTCGTTTTGTAGATTCATCGCGGTTCGTCGCAGTTTTGTGAAGAACGCATTGATTTGCATTCGAACAGAAACGCGCATTTTCTACCAGGAAAAGTACTGTTTTCTAATAATCACGATTAGCGAAAAATATGTGATTGCTCGTAGTTTACGTACAAAATCTCGGTTTGTAATTAAATCGCGATTGTTTTAGTTTTTTAGTTCATATTTCATTTTCCGACTAATTTTTATGAGTCAGTCACAAACAGAACTTTGATTAGCGTTTTCAAGCAACGGTTAACTTTTTACTAGAGGGGTTTACAATTGAGTTTTTCCTTATTGGATAAAATATTTAGTGTTGCCTGACTTGATTGATTCGGTGGCACTAATTAAAACATGGCACAAGTACAAAACAGTTTTAGATTCTAATACCACTAATCATCAAAAAAACCTATTAATATGTCGATATCGACATATTTTTTACTTTCCACGAAATTTTTGATTTCCTATCGTCATTCCTTTACTTTTTTTCCGACGTTGCTTTCGAACTATAAAACCCGAATTACAAATTTTTTTCTGGTACTACGAGGCATTTTTAGATTTGTGAACAGTGTCTCAACCTGAGATTGCAGAGTATTGTCTTCTTTCGTCTTTTCTAAAAATACAACTTATTTATGCGATCTTTTGTGCGAAAGCAAGTAATTAATATTAAAACTATTAGAAATCAATGTTTTCTCATGAAATAGGCTAGAAGAGAGCATTCATAAGAAGATTTTGATCTACATTTGATACAAGAGCGATTACAGTTGTTTATTATCATAGTACAGTCTGAAAATTAAGAAATCTTTTTTACCGTAATCATTTTTAGGTAGATAGAACGTCACTTCGTCTACAAACGCGAGAAATGCGAAGCGAAATTCCTCTTTATAAAATATCAAGATGGAATACGTTTCTCTCATCCATAGATAAGGCTCATCAACAATCAAACTCAATCTTCTGGTCCTTTTTATCTCGAATCTATCCTCCAAAAACTCTTCCCCTTTCAAAATTACTGGTAAACAACGAAATTATTGCAGACAAATATGAACTTGTAAAAAATCTGTTTGATTATTTTAAATAGCAATTTCTCCCACCGGTCTCAGGGACCTCCAATGAGGAGTTTGAGCAAATAAAAACCCAAATGGGAAAACTGCATAGAGCCAAGCCGTTTAACAACAGTAGCAGAAATAAACAAGTATATAAAAGGTTTGAAAAGCAAAAAATCACCGGGATTTGACTCTATCTAATTTTACGCTAAAGCTTTTACCAATAACGCATGTTGAATGTATTGTGGGTTGTTTTAATGACTGGCTCAAGGGGTCGGAGTTCATTAAACCATGAAAAGTAGCTAAATTTGTCGTTTTAAATAAACTGAAATCCGGGATCCCCTAATGCGATCAAACCAGGCCAATCTCCTTGTTGTCTACCCATTCAAAGCTATATGAGAAAATTCTTCTTCAAAGAATTAAAGAATGGTCAGAGCAATTCGATCCTTCCGCCTGAACAATCCGGCTTTCGCCCTAAATGTCTATTACCAACTAGAGTATTGTCTATGTATCAAATCATCGACAATAATCTACGTGGAAATGTACCATCGCTGGTCATATATGTGGACTGCAAAAAAGCTTATGACAAAGTTGTCCACGAATTTTTATTATCAAGTTATTTAAGTTAGGAATGCCGCTGAACCTGTTAAAGGCAATCTGGAACTGGTTACGAGGCAGACAAGCCAAAATTATTTTTGGGAAATGCGGCTCAAATGCTTTTGTGATCGGATTAAGGTTTACCCCAAGGCAGTTCGCTGTCACTGATCTTGTTCATTATTTTTCACTGTGACCTACCTAATAAGTTGGGCACGCACCCAAGCGGGATTTTTGCAGACGACCTACAAGTAACAATAATTCCTCCAATTAGACCAAAGTTAAGTCAAATGTTAAAGTATCTTGAGGAGGAGGGGCAGAGAGTGTGCAACAGAATTCTTCAACATTCAATTGACCATGAACAACCGATTAATTATAGTAAAACTGTTTTCCAGATACTTCATTCTCAGATTAAGAGACCCACTATCTCGCTGTCAATGGCGGGCTATAAGTTAGAGCAAGTCATAATTTTTAAGTACCTAGGGTTCAGTTGGTCAGATAAGCTGTCTCTAAAACCTACTTTAAACGACGCAGTAGAAAAAATTCAAACATCTTTTGTTAAGTTAAAGTGGGCATCAAAAGGTAAACAAGGTTCAAATAAGTTAAGGCGGCAGAGTTTTTTCGCGTATTTATTTCCGTTTTTTTCGTGGCTCTTCCCAATTTACACCCTTTTACCACGCATCCTCGTCCAAATTTTAAACAAAAGTTCAGGGTGGGACTTCGCCTGCTGCATAGATGTCCGTATACCGATAGGGAGGAACTTTTTGACTTATGTGAGGAGGAGCAATTAGACTACTATGTTGTTAATTATTTAAAAAGGAGATTATTGAGCTTCTACGATTCTGATTTGTGCAATTCTCCAATCCTAGAAGATGTATTTTACTGGGATTATTATCACCGGGCTAAAAGACTGAAAACAGGACACTATTTTCACAACAAACGAGTCATAAAGCAAATAAAGACTCATAAATCCGTGCTGATATCATGGCTCGCTTTTGTTCACGATAAAGAGAAGAAGTAATAGAGAGAAGTTATCCTGATCCCCGTTTTTTTGCTTGTATTCACTTGGTCTTAACTTATCCTTTTCGAGTCAATGTAGTTTAATGCATATGGTTTAGTTAATTTATAGACTCTATTGTGTGATAACTCTTAATTTAGTGTTAATCAATATCTTCATACTCTTCCGGAAATGTAACATTTTTCTTATGTATTAGTTTTTCTTTTTTTTGTTAATAACTGTGTTTATGAGTCTGTTGTGCACCAACCCTTTTTGTAACAGCCTAAGGGCTTAACAATATATGGAAAGTCAAAACAAAAAAAACAGAAAAAATAATTGGAGTGTCAGGAGATATTATAGATACGAAAAATAAAATCTTGCTCATTCTGGAAATCTAGAATTTTTTCTAATCAAAAGATGTAATTTCTGTTTGAGGAAGAGAAAACGTTTTTAAACATCTATCAGTTATATTTCAGTTATTATTTATATTTTATTAGATGTAAGGTTAAATCCAGCATTTATTATTGATCAGTTGTATGTCTAAACTAGTTTGATGAAAGATGCTCGCTAACAGATATATAGCTGCTGAGATATCATCGGGACATTTTTTCGAACTGGAAAATGACAACGGATTGACTTTTGTCTTTTTACTCTTTGTACAAATTCTTGTCTTATCATTTAATCAGTATTAGAATAAGAACTATATCAAAGACTAAGAGCGATTTGTGCAATAAGAACAAGTAAATAACAAAACAATTATATTCTAACGAAAATCAGATGAAATCAAATAAATAATCATAAATACTCAATAAAAGTCATGGTCAAAAATATCACATTTGATAACGCAAAGAAAAATTGCTTTAACAAATTATTTAATTAAATAAACATTTCTGTTGTCTCATTATAAAAAAATCTCGAATACACAAAAATAATTTGATATTTTCAATTTCGTGTTTTCTTGTAACAATCGGAACAATTTAAAGAGAACTCTAGGCATTTTATACATCACTAGAAATAACGAGTATTTCAGTTTTCTTTAATAAGTGGATCGTCTACATGTGTAATCGATCATTGCAGGCTCTTACGTCCACCAGTTAAGTCCTTTTTTAATCTAGACTTTAAACGATAATAGTAATGGATTGCAAACAAGGATTATTATTTATATCGGCGCTATTGATGGCCGCTTACTGTTATCCACAAAAGAAAAATCAACAATTTCAAGATGAGGTAACCATTTGGTCGCTGCATTTTTCTAAATGTTAGAGTAATTGAGATCCTATTATTTTTTACATAACATTGAAACGATTTGGTAAAGCTTTTAATTTCTATCGAGCTGTATCTCCCAAGAATGAAATTTCATAAGAAATAGGTCATCTGCACTTGCTGAAGACGCGTTCGGTTCTCCAGTAACTGCAGCTAGCTAAAAGAGTAAAATTTAGTGGGTGTACCTAGTTGCAGCGGGACAAAACCGCTAACCTGCTTCAGTATTGCAGCAGGTATATATACTGAATGAAAAAAATGAAAGGAAAAGCCAAACAAAAAGAAGTTCCTGCCGAGATTCGAACTCTGTTTATACAGAATAATGGCGCTGTAATGGGCGTAAATATTTTTTCATGTTTGAACTTCAATAAAAGACATAAGCTGTCTCTGACATGATAAACGACTAGATTAGCAAAACTAACCAGTCAGATATTTTCATTTGAAAGAAATGCATTTTGTAGTAAAACTTGAGCAACAAATAGTCGAACAATGTGATAAAGTTCCTCTCTCTACTAAATGATTTGAGAGAAAAAAATATTTTGTTTTCCACCACTCATAGTCTAAATAAAATTTCCGAGCTCTGCTAATACCCAAAGAATAAAAAAAGAAATGTCTAACCGCTCGATGCTGATTGAATGAACATATAGATTATCCTTCCAAAATAATACTTGTGTCTATCTGAAGCTACGGTGTTTTATTATAGACAACAGACAAAATAATACCATCGTCTAAAGAGTGGAAAGCTACATGGAATAATCAAATTATAGCTAGAAGCAAAAATACGATTATTGTCGAAGGTAATACTTATTTTCCTCCAGAATCAGTACAAATGGAATATTTGAAATCAACCGATTATCATACAACGTGTAAATGGAAAGGTGTTGCATCATATTATTCACTTATTGTTGATGATAAAGAGAATGAAAATGCTGCATGGTATTATCCAGAACCAAAACCAGAAGCAACCATTATCAAACATTATGTTGCATTTTATAAAGGCATTAGTGTAGAAGAAGAAAATTAAACAATATTATTTATGTACATATTTATTATTCTTAATTCCATTTGATATCTTGAAACTATCTCTTTAAGAGATCGATTTATCTATCAACGATCATAACCTCCGAAGGAAAGAAAGACTTCCGTTCTGGATTCGACACATATGCACTTGTTATCATTTAAAGAGACCTTACGTTCGATTGCAGTTCTCTGATAAAGGAGGGATAGAGAGGATCTCAGATTTCTTTTTTAAGACAGATATGAAAATGAACAAAGAGGAATGCATTTTTCAGCCTGAAAGTCGTCCTGTCACGCCCATTTTGAGATCAGAACTCGAATTATAAAGCATCGAATGTCTGCTTTAAAGTCCAATTTTGCTGGAAAACTGATATTTTTCAATGAAATCATGTTTGAATTAAATCCGAAATAACAAGAGAGAAACAAATAAGTACTGCAAAGCATTCTGCAATTAATCTTTGAAGTACTGTTCTGAGTGTGACTCAAAGTGTACTGTCGTTCGATCTAAAATTTACCATAATTTAACTTTAGAGAGTGAGAAAAAGAAACGACGGTGGTTGATCGTTCGCTAATCGATATATACCGATGTCGTCTCGAAGTTAGCATGCACAACAAAATAGAATAGTCTTGAGTATTTTTGAATTATATTTGAACGAAGGAGCTTCGGAGGAGAGATCCGATTTTCAGCATTCAAAAGAGAAAACTTTAGGCATCTTTTTATAAGAGACATTAATTTAAAAATCTTTTTTTAAACGAAGTTTTCAACTAGATCTTTGGAAAATCAAGTGATAGTTCCAACCCTTTAAGTACGAATCTATTGTTTTTTCTCCCGTGTAGATAGTGCAGAGTGTTCTCTTCAAAACAGGAGTCGCGCGAGACTCTAATGTTTAGTGATTCTAGCATCTCATCGGTTTTTGTGGGAGCCCGAGAACTGCTACTGAGTGACTCGGCGTAGGCTTGAAATCAAATTGAACATACATAACTGGCTACGCTGAACCTAGTAGCAATGTTTTGTTTTTGGAAAACAGTTCGAAAATCTAGTGAAAATCAAATTTTATGATAATTGGAGTTTCCATCGGCTTGTCTAGCTAACGGTCCCCGTTTTTCGCTCTTTTTCAAAAGATTATTGCAATACAGCTACAAACTAAACAAAAGAAATACCAGAAAAATCGTGACACTGTGTTACGCTTTTTCTGGTTTTTCTTTTGTTTATTTAGATTCATTAGAATAATTTCGAACTTAAAAAGCTATCACATCTTGTAAAGCAAACAATTTTTTACAAACTGGTATACTTGTTGAAGTTTTACCAGCTCGTGTTCGCTCGTTTAGACATGCCTTTTAGATAGCCCCAAAATCGATTTTTGGAGTGTTTGTACAACAGCTGTATTTTCATAGCGAATTCACGTTCAGAGCCGAGACACTTTTCATTTTGTAGAGAAATGTTTGATGTACTTAATTATCTAGTTGCCATTTTAGATTAGTTTGTAGCTTTATTGCAATAACTTTTTGAAAAAGAGCAAAAAAAGGGAACCGTTAGCTGGACAAGCCGTAAAGGTCAAAGTGGTTAGCAGCTTTTTAGGCAATATTCAGCTAAAACTATCCACTTCGTTAAACTTGAAAGAAAGAAATAGATCGCGAATTTCTTTTCATCAATTTTTTCACAAAAAACTTGAAACTGACTTGAAGAAATATAATCTACAATCTCTCATGTGAATTTCTCAGTTGTTGGAAATATTTTTGCTTTTCTGCTGTTGTTGACATCGATGAAGAGATCGAAACTGCTTCCTCATCATCATCGTCTTCGTCGTCTACCATAACTATTGCATTATTCTGTCTGTGTCTCATAGCATATCCTAGTCTATCAACTCAAACATAGCATTAGAAAATTAAGTACTTTTGCCGCGCTGCACCAAATTAGATAAAAATTGGGCGCTATGTGCAAAATTTTTCAGTGAATCCGACTGCGGGTTCCTTATAATTATACTTTGACTTCTTTTCTGGTATCGACATAATCTAAGTGATTTTTGCCTAAATTTTATTTTTCTCATTGGTGCCTTTTTATCAATCAATGAGAAAAATAAAATTTAGGCAAAAATCACTTAGATTATGTCGATACCAGAAAAGAAGTCAAAGTATAATT